ATACAGTTTCAAAGCAAATTAATTCAGATACAAAACTTTAAATTCAGTTTAAATTTAGTAAAATTCATTTTCAAACCAGTGCATTCAATTTCAAATTATGAACATTCAGATTCAATCTGAGCAATTCAAGTTCACTTCCTGCTGGAACAAGATTGATCCCATACTTAGCTTTGCTAATGTTAAACAAAGGAAAAAATAATTTTTTGAGGCTAATGCTAACCGCTAAGATGGTGCAAGCCTGTTGTTCGATTTCCATTGGTTTAATTTACACTTACGAATTCTTTTAGTGGACTTAAAATTAGAGGTAGCTAACTGGTCTGCTAACAGTTTCCAAAGTTAGCAAAACAGCTACTCCGCTACATGAGAAGCTAATTCTCTATTAGCAGAAGTGTGTCCACCACAGGTAAAAACAAACATCTGTAAACATGGGACATTTGACTCTGAGCGTCTCGCCTCAGAAGCTTTTTACTAAAAACCAAGAAGAGCTAAAATCATGACGAGCAGGAGGAGACGAGCTGGTTTTAAAGATGCGAATAATAAATATTAGAGATGTTGCTGTCAGGCTGAAGTGGATCACCGCTGGTGTTTGTGGAGCTCTGACATTTAGAAGCAGCAGAACGGAGGCTCGGTTCTGGAGAACCAAGGTCCAGAGCAGGTCTGTAATTTAGTGACWCATGCTCCTCTGTGTCGATATTCCCCCTCACGCTGTCGGCTGAATCACAGCCGGGGACAGAAACCTTCGGCTCGTTGCATCGTTTATTTGTTTGCTTCATTTTAACTCTGAACACAGTTCTGACCCAGTTTCCATCATTTAATTCATTTTATTAAAACTAGGTTTTAAAAATGTGTCTGTGATGCATCCATTCCTCCTGCTGGAGGTTCAACATCTACTTCTCATCAGCGATCATGATCGACTGCAGCTGGTAGTTTCTCTTTGMTGACATCAAAAGAATTTGTTGGACAAAACCCACCTGGCTGGTCCAGGAAAAACCCAGAACCACCAGGGCATCAAGGCCAGAAACTGAACACTGCTGGAACAGCTGTGTCCCTGTCCACCTGATACCCTATCTATCAATGTCTAAACTTTAGCTTTTAGTTAGCATCAAGCTGTGGGAGTAAAACTTTAGCTTTTAGTTAGCATCAAGCTGTGGGAGTAAAACTTTAGTTTTTAGCTAATATGAAGCTTTTAGCTAGCATTAAGCTGTGGCTTTTAGCTAGCATCAGTGACTTTATGTCTTTATTTTATATAAATAATTTTTTCTGATTTCACTCAGAGAAGCTTCAGCTGTAAAAACATCAGCTATCATTTTTAACCTCGTTAATTTCAGCTGTTTCATAAGGACAACAGGTTACATCATCAGCTGCATCGATTAACCCGGCGTGTTTCAGGACGTAAACAAATACATACTAAAAGCTGGAGGTGGAGCTTCATTTCTGCCTGTTTTTATTCATTTCAGACACATGAAGCTTCTAACAAACAGCTGAAACAACGAGCCGCGGAGCTAAAGTGGCTTTTAGCACAGCGACGTTTCGCCTTCGGCTCCTCCTGATGAGGTCGGCTGTTCTCTGCCGGAGCAATTATCGCTGCTCTAAAAGCTTTTTTCTCACCCAGACGGCAGACAGGAGACATTTTTACTTTCAGCTGAAAAAACAAAACAAAAAACAATATGTTAAAACCTGAATCAATGAGTTTAAAGACGTCCTCATACACGTCCCCGTCCTCATGTCCTCCTGTCCTCATACATGTCCTCACGTCCTCCTGTCCTCATACATGTCCTCACGTCCTCCTGTCCTCATACATGTCCTCACGTCCTCCTGTCCTCATACATGTCCTCACGTCCTCCTGTCC